CACGGCGAAACACAACGTAAATGTTGCTTCTCCGGTCGAGCCGGCCCATAGTGCTGAAGCATGGCTCTCCCTTGACACTCAATGACGTCTCCTTCTTCTTTTTTTATGTCATAGTTTGACAAACAAGCAGACCGATTACCTGATGGTAAACAATCAGCGCCGCCCATAGATACCCGCAGCGGGGGAGTTACGAGTGCGTTGTCGACCTTTTGGGAATTAGGGATTTGGAGATTTAGGGATCGGGGGAGGGAAAGGATTGGACCTCCGGTAACCTCACTCACACGGCGAAACAACGCTGTGGTTGTTTCACGCAGGTGGTCTGTCATCGGTATCACTCCGGTCGAGCCGGCCCATTCGTGCCGAAGCATGGCTTTCCTACACTTGAAGTCAGTTGGACCAGTCGGTGTCCACACTGTAAGCGTAGGCGTGCGTACTGTAAGCGTGTTGTAAGCACCCACAAAGGTAGTTTAACACGGAACCACCTACAAAACATTATTTTGGAATTTAGAAATGGCCTAAATTTAATGACGTGAACTAACTGAGAAAAGCTCTAATAGTTTCAAGAGTTTTAATATATACTCTGGTTTCAAGTCACAAGCGGATTCAGCAGTGTACATGCTGTTCTTCTTCTTCAGAATGTTAGCAGTCATCATAATCAGCCTATAAGTACCCACTGCTAAACAAAGTCCTCTTACAAGGAGAAAGTTTGAGTATCACCACGCTTGCTCAAGGCGGATTAACGGTTTCGAACTTATTATTAGAAATTATAAATCCAGATTTCCTCACGATGTTTTCCCTCACAGTTAATCAGTGGTGTCTAAATAATCATAGAAAGTCACACATCATTCGGAAAAAGTCACATTGATACTTGCCAGCTTTTGAACCCGCACCCTTATGCATCAGAAGCGGGAGCTTAACTTCCGGGCCACCACGTCGTACACTATTAGTACAGTCAGAAAACTTAGATGGTCGACTAGTTTTTTACAGTTAATGATCGAAAGAGTTCTCGACCAGCATTTTTCACACGGGACATAAAGACATCCAGTGATAGCTTGTGTTCCTTGAATTGGTTGATGATAGTACTTATCTAATAGAATATTTAAATGAATACGCTTGATATGAATAGTTGTAACTATAAAACATTCGCTGTAGCGTGCAATTGGAGAATCAAGTAAGGTGCCCCGGGGCTAAAGCAATTAGGCCTTTTCCTAGAGAATTCACCAAAATGAACAGTTTACATCGAGTAAATATTTTTATGAAGAATTTTGTGATAATGTCTGGTCTAGAATGGGTCCGGGAATTAATAAAATTATGAACAAACATATTTTGTCTACTTATAATTACTTATATAGTTGGATTGGTCTTCTTGGTCAACTTATAAATCTATTGAAAATAACAACTTACCTTCGTGAATTTACTGAGAAAGGCAGTTTCAAGTCAAAACTCGCAGTTATGTTAAGCAGCCGACGACGTGCACGCTTCTCATGAATAGAGTCCCGCTGTGACTTGAAACTAGTAGAGCTTATCTCAGTTTATGCACGTAAATATGAAGTAATTATCAATAAACTCATAAATCTTGAAGTATCTCAAAATCTAGAGATTCAAGGTGAAAATTTTAAACTATAAAGAATAGCTTCTCTTCCTTACAAGGGGTAAGGAAGATTGACAAACTCTTACTGACTAAAAGCCAATATTGTCAGAAATTGATCGTCATCCAAATATATTGGATATAGATTGTGTTGCATTTGGTGAGGAAATGCTAGACGTTTATACATATAAGCAACTTCTTTCCTTTGATAATTCGGGTGAATCCGCTTCTAAGAGCAATATAGCAGTTTCCAACTAGTTGATTTTTGCTGTAGCCTGTGTGAGGGAGCAATCCTCCTCCTCACGCCTTAGCCGCAGCAGCAGGCACACACGACACTACGGGCGTCGGCGATCAAGGGACGATCTCCGGCCACGGCGTGGGTCTGCGGACTGTGAGTAAGGGCGATGCCCGACCAGAACCAGACCCGAGCGTACGGCGCGTAGCGTTCCGCGCTCGACGAAGAGCCAATAGACCACCACAGACGGGGCCTTACAGGGCTGATGGTCAACCGGGGTTGCGGGGTAAGCGCAATGAGGCACCGCGACCTCGGCCCAGAACAGGAGAAGGAACAGGGGTTTTTTAGTCAGTAAGAGTCTGACTGATGATTTCTCATTTTTCATCTTCAAAAAACGTCATTGTGTCATTGTGTCATGTTATTGTGACGGAATAATTTCCGTCAAATAACATACCTAATTATTTGTGAAATAAATGTGGAAAGTGTGGGAGTGTCAAGCTTCGGCACAGATAAGGCTCGACCGGAGTGATACTAGGGCCTCACAGAAAACCGGCGTGAAACAACCACAGTTTTGTTTCGTTGTATTAGTGAGGTTACCGGAGGTCCAATTCATCACCTCGCCGATCCCTAAATCTGAAAAACCCTCCCCATGTCGGCAACGTATACATGGACGGCGCTGATTGCTTGCTCTCGTTTCTCGTTTGCCCTTATATTAAATAAATAAATATATGTAGGTATCTCATAAAAACAGTGAATTACAGTATAATTATATTTTTATAATAAGTTATCAGAATCTAGGAATTCACCTCATTACCTTCATAATTTTGTCTCATGATTCGACTGTAGGTAGTGGTGCTTGAATACAAAAACAAAAAACAAAATGTTCAGTTAATTCATTTTATTTTGAAATAAAAATTAGATACATTACGCTATTTGGACATCACAATAGGAATACATTGATGGTATAAAACTTAAAATATTACATTTCATAAACCACATGATTGTCGTTTAAAAAGCTGTGTAAATGGAATGTAAATAATATCAATGGTTTTATTATTTTTATTAATTTATAACACTATTTACATATTTATTGTTTACATGTAAAAAATAATGACGAAAATAAAAAATATATTGTAATTCTTATTATGTTTGTTTGGACGAAAAAGGAATATTATGGATACATTAAAATGTACAGAAAGGTGCAAATAATTGGTGATTAGGTTCAAAAAATTAAAGTGCGGAAAATATTAATATTTATGAGACAGATAAGTTGAAAATAAGATAGAAAATATTTATTACACTGTTCGGTGGGCATCAAAAATTATTATAATTACATATTTTTTCGTCAATATTTCCACATGTCCACGTGTAAAACAAATAAATTCAGTATCAAAAACTTGCTACTTAGAAAAATCTTTATTCATAAATTTGTCTCACGTAAATAGATGAAAATAACCAATTAATTTACACTTAATCGTAATTCATAAGTGCACCAATTTAAATAACAAGAAATTGATTCTTGATTCAACAGTACATGGTAAAATTACTTTATTTTTAATCAATTATATTATTTTCCATAAAATAAGACCTGGTCAATGTTTAGAATTACAAAGAAAAAAACTCAGTAATTTTTGATGTAAATAGTGTTATAAAATTTTAAAAACATATCTATAACATTGATTATAAATGGCACTTACGGACCAAAATATTTCATTAATAACTATATCTTATTAACAAATGGTTGCACTTTATTTTCTTGTCAAATACAATGATAATAATAGGCAAATACTATATTATTAGTCACCAATATCAATTAATTATATACTTATATTAATAATTACTATGGAACAATATATCAGCAATTCTTGTTTTCAGTCATTTTCACATAAATCACACAAAAAGAAAAGTGGCAAGGAAGATTTGAAATAGAAATTGAAAGAAATAGGTGAAATAAAAAGCAGAATATGTCCAGATAAATAAAAAAAATAAACATTTAAAATTATTTATTTTTGGAAATGTCTCAATATAGTTTGTATAGGACGGAAATGAGAATGAAAGGTTTTGGACGATGATAGAATAGTAAAAAAGGGAGTATTAAAGAAAACCGTGCAACCAATCATCGATATTTTATTAATTTTTCACTAATAATTGATGTCTAGTGCAGCCTTTTATGAAAGGTAAGCGTTCCTAACAAACTATCAACAGCTTTTCTCAGTGATTTACGTACTACATAACAATTCTCTATATACAATTTAAAATCTCATTTATATCACATCATTCATTCAAAAATATACCTTAACGTTATTGAATTATCGTCACGATTCTATTATATTGGCGTTCGGGATCACGCGATTTGAATGTTTTATTTTTACTATAAAAAAATAAGCTAAAATATAGTGACGTGATGCAGAACGCCAATGCAATAATATTGTTATACATAATCGAATGCTTAATAGAAAACAGGCCTAACTAAAAAAAAAGGAAATTGAATTTTAAAAATTATGGTTCATCAATAAGGTTCAATTTTGATTGCCTCTTTTATGAGTTAGTTCTGTTTTCTATTAAACATGCGAATTATTTGGTTAAATGATACTATTAATATACAATGAAGCACTGCAATCAAAGTACAGTCAACGACATTTACAATCGCGTTGCACCAACAACGAAATTCATGACAATATTCTAACGCCGACTGTACCTCTAAACGATTTGGCATTTTTTTTTATTATTTTCGTTAAAAGTTTACTAACAAAAATAATTTTCTATTTCTGTATCACACATATACATTTTTTATACACAACATGTATCGTGTTTTCGGCAGAGGTAGAAATAAACAGGTCCAAATATTTTTTTTTTAGTTTCTGAGATCTCACACAAACAAACGACCGTTACACCTAGTCTATGTTATCCAGTTCTTCAAAATGCTCGTCTAATACTACCAAATTGGTGATATTTATCTTACATACGATTACCAATCTGTTTTTATACACTATACACGTCAATTTAATAAATTAGTTTAGGCCTCTTAACTTATAAACTACTTAATTGCTTTATTGTACTCACTTTCCTAAACTAAGCACTAAATTACACCCTAACGCTTGGTTTCATAATAAAAACACCAAAAAAAAAAATTATCAAATCTGAATTTAGAAAAAAAAAATATTTTCCATTGCATATATCTATTAAGACAAAATTAAACAGGCCCTAAATGTAAAAAAAAAAAACAATTACACAAATTCAAATTTAGAATTTGATATTTATTTATTCCGTAAGGCAATGAACCTCATTGGTCAAGGTGGGCTGAGACAAAAACAAAGATGGCGGGAAGTTGACAACAAATGAGTTTACGTGCAACGCCTTGAGATTGGCGAATGATTGCTTAATGGAATACATCGATACACCACAATCGATTGACCTTAGATTTAGTATAAAATGGTACCTGACCAGTAAATTTAATTGTGATAGTTAAACGAAAATTTCAAAGAACAGAGGGGATGGTTTGGATAATACCTAAGATTTTTTTACCTTACATGAGCTGTTTTAAAAAACCAAGCGTAAAAATAGTTCTAAATATCACATAAGTACGAATAAACATGATGGTACATAATCACAATGACAATTATAAGTTAATATTTACACACCTATCTACAAAAATGTATCTAGAACTAAGTATCGCCATTTTCTCGTTACTATATTGGGATATGACACCTAAAAAGTAAGATCGAACAGGAGAATACATGTGTAGGAACCTTTTGTATTCTACTGTAGTTCGAGAGCCTCACTGCCAACCATTTCATTACAAATTATTCAAATAAGTTCCTTAAAAAGTCCGTTAAAACATTAAAAAAAAACAATCAACAAAGTCGATTAAAAATACTTCGATTCTATAAGAGCGCTGATGGGAAAAATATTAAAAAACTTCAAAATTAAGAGAGTCAATTTAACTATGGTAACATTTCCTTACTTATCTGTTGTATTTCATCTCATTCCACTCAATTTATTGTCCTTCATTCTCATTATAAATTGATGTCAAAACATTTAAAATAATTGCGAAGATCACATTTTTACATTTCACTATATCACAGTTTGACTCTCAGGATGTCAACTCTAACAAAGAGCGATACCTCAACAAGAATCCTTCAAAATATCAATAAATAATGTTCAAAATAAAACGATAAATCTTTGAAAAATTTCAATACTGTCGCGTTTAAAAAGTTTAAAATGTTGATATCATCGATATTGGCACACCAATTGACATGACGTTCGTTTAAATTTGAATTAATACCAATACTGATAGGATTGATATCCTTATTATCTTAATCTGGCCAAATTTTATTATCTTAAAGCAAATCGATGAAATATAAAAAGCTTGTGAAACCCCTATGAGTGATTCCATTGCCTTTGGTATTACTTCGTATTGGCTAGCTATGCTAAACGTTGCACAGCTAGAAGGAACATCAAGATAACGTTTCAGTACTGATCCTTAAAGGAACGTCTCCATCCACAATCAAAGTCTTGCAACAAGTCTTACAGATCACCTGTTTAAAAATACAAGACTATTGAATATAATGTACACCAAAAACTATGAAGGGGATCATAATTTTTTGACGCTAGATGAGACTGTTAGGTCCAAAGATCCATATTTCTTCTTCCTTTAGTAAACCTTCAGGTGTACCGTAAACATTCACTGGACATTGTTACCGTATTGCATGCCGAAGATAGAGAGGATCACGAAGGTAAGTCCCAAGAAGACTGATCCGAGGAGATCTCCCAGAGCGGTCAGGTAGGGGATGGCTGCGTTGTCCGGATCCTTCTTCTTCTTCCACATGAGGTGGACTAGCATGTAAGCTAGGTACAACAATACCATGACCTGGAAACAAGACGATTTACCGTTAAGATTCATTCAGACAGAGTAGTATCATTAAAAGAGTAGCTTAGTTCCTCTTCTTGAATTTGATGGGTTTTGTCAAAAGTCAAAGTTTTTGATAAAAAATACTTATAATACTTACTTGCAACAATGAGCACATAAGGTAAGTGATTCCGAAGGGCACTTGTAAGGTAACCACGCCTTGGTAGACAAAGTCCGCCACTACCATGAAGATAATCTGACCGAACAACGCCAGGATCAACAGCATACGAGCCACCTTAGCTGCTTTAGCTGAAAAAGAAAAATATCACATTAATACTCTGATTTCAAATGAGATAGAACAGTTAATTGAGAAACGCTCAATTTCTTAGCAGTAAAAATTTATATAGATAAAGACTAGGAAAAATTGAATTAAAATGTAACAAAGTGGGTACATAATAGATTTTTTCTGCACTAAGGAAAATCGTAAAAACATTTGCAATAAAGGACAACTTACTTCCATAGAACAGCGTCTTCCATGGCCATTCAACAAGCCTGGTGTTCTCAGGTAGTTCTCCAGGAATGGCAGTCTGATGCAGATGGGTAGCCAATCTTGAAGATTGGACGCAGACCAGGTTTCCACCGATGCCGTTGACAATAGGCTGGAAGACTTCGTAGCCGGGGTAGCTGTCCACTGCTTTGTCCAAGACGATACCTCCGATACTGATAGAGAAATAGATGTTGAAGTTTTTATAGAGAGATAAAATTAAAGAGAGATAATAGATTTGTATATAGGGGTAATGTTTGGAATGGCTGGTCGGATTTCTAAAAATCTGTTACTACAATGTGCCTGAGGGCTATAAGCTATAAATTAAACTTGACTTGGGTATTTTAGTCGAGCTATCGCTTTCTTCGGTGCTGTTTTCTAATTCTGAGATACATTGCTTATATACACGTCTCATAAAACTGATATCAACAATCTTGGGACGGGTAGTAGCATCTTAGAATTTTGGTGAGCTAAGAGCAATCCTATCCAAACGTTTAAAAGCAAGGCTTTCCACAGTGGATGTTTTGACGATGATGACAACTTCTGTCGGACTGTAACCCTTGATTAGTCTAGGGAAGGTGTCAAACCCACAATGTTATATTTTGATGGGGGCAAATTGGCATGATTAAAATATCTACAAATATACATGATAGACTTAAATATTTTGCGATTGACAATCACAATGTTACATTGTCATGTCATGCACGTTAACAATGATAAACATGAGGATTTCACAAATACGGATTACAATTTAATCTAGAATGAAATTATATTCATATTGTCAAATCATCTTCGATAAAACGTCAATACTAATACGGCTTAACAAAACCTAGTGGACATTAATTATAGATTTCTGTTTAGTGATTAATAGAAAGAGGAATAATTGGGAAACTTTTTTTTCAAATAGTACAAATCTTCTAGTAGATTTTGAAAACGTATACCATTCATAATTCTAATATCATCAAACCCACGCAAGAATGCTTTTTCAAAGTCTGTCTGGTTATTCAAAATAACTTAGAAATGTGAAGTCAGTCAAGTCTAAAGGGAGTTGGGAGTTTTTGCAATCTTAAAAGGACAAGCAAAGTCAAGAGAAATAATTATGAAGAACACATACCCACTAATGAAGAGTGCTGAGATAACTGGAGTCCATCCACTGGTGAGAACCTTTTTGGTGTACTTGTTGCGCCATACGATGAAGACCCAAAGGGGTAGTAGACTGTAGTAGACGCACATTAAAGCAATTGGCTGCCATAACGATATTTCTGGAAGAGAACGGACAAAAATTAGTTGATCGTTTGGAAATTGGAAGAGGGCTATCGTAAAATTTGACACCAGTGGCGTTAAAAGGAAGGAGAATATGTTTTGATAAACGGATTAAAAAACCATTTTTGGCTACATGAGACACAAATCTTTAGCTAAGTCATGGTATCTGGTCGGTTTTATTTATTACTGAGAATTTCTAAACAACGTTAAGTTTTTCACAAAAATCATACCGTTGGATTTAGACAAGACCAAAAGCTACATTAGCGCCATCTACCCAAAGCAAAAACGATAGCCCTCTTTGAATTGCGACTTTGAGATTTGGCTAAGTGATTCCTAATGATCATTAAACTGAGAAGAATCATGGTAACTACTATTTCTAATGATTCTGAGATGGTTCTACAGTGGCTGCATCATGTTCCTCTTAGCAGTTTTTTTGAAGTATGATGTAAAAGAGTACATGTTTTAAGTAAATCACATTATAATATAATGTACTGGAGAAATGATTTGATATTAATATAACATACACAACAAGTAGTCTATCATCTAAAATGCTCTCAATACTGAACCTGGTGTTTTTTTATATTTTTACTAGGGACCCGCCCCGGTTTCGCACGGCTTCAATACTGATACAACATTTTTCCTTAATCAGTCTATCTAGGTATTAAAAACAACTGCATCAAAATCGGTTTTACACTTTTAAAGATTACAGCATACATATGGATATAAAGACAGAGGAAGCGATTTTTTATACTATGTACTGATTTCTGTCCTTGTCAATTGTATTACGAGTGACAAGGATGATACAAATACTAAACATAGCGATTATTACATTTCTATGATTATAGGATTAGTTTTTCTTTGACGTCAATCAAACACCAATCAAACCAAACATTTGATTGATTAGTAAATGAATTAGCAGATTAAAATCTAGCCTAAATTATTAAAAAAAGATGACGCATTGAGGATGTTATTAATTTGTGTCGTATAGTATAGCCGTGATATTAATTTTTTAAATAATAATTATTAAAAATATGTTTATGACGAGAAAATCTGAAGTTTCAGTTTCTGTTTATTTAGACCGTTTTGTAAACCGTCACTTCAAAATATCATAAGATGTTTTTTGAGAACAGTGTTGTCAGGCTAATCAAACTGGGACTGTCAAAATTTGTTGATAATTATTGCTATCTAAATATTAATGTTTGAGGATCTTTTTAATCTCTCCGATTTTTTTTTTGTTTAGTATGATATTGCATGCAAATGATTAGGTGTCTCACACACTACACAGATTGAATTTAAGTTTTTTTTTTGTTTATGGAATTTGATGGGAAACGAGTCAAAGGTTTTTTTTTCTAGAACGTTCTAATGAAAAAGCATGCTGTGAATGTTTTTTTAGATTTATTTCTATTTGAAACTCACCTCTCTCACTCCTTCCACTATCAGTACCTTTTAGTTTTAAAAATTAACGTCTTTATTATTATATTTTGTTTCTTTTAAAAGTTTCTATACGTATATTAATCGCTGAATATTTGAACATAGTCATATTGATTAAAGAAAGAAAGGCAGGAGAGAGAACTTTTAAGAACCATATTTCCAATAATTAACGATATAGTAGGTATTTCTTATTTTGTAGTAATACATCACTTAAGAAAGATTAAATAGTGTAACTAGCTGTAGATACGGCCTTATCTACTTTGACATATCCTAAAGACTTAATTACTGGAGTTACACTATCAAAAACTGTTCAGACTTTTTCGACATTATTTCACCGAGTAACGAAATCCAATTATGCAGTCAGACTCTTAGTCAGTCTAGAGCTTCTCCAATCAGTTTCGAGTTCTATTTACCTCTGAGTTTGTTTCGGCATTTCTGATCTAATTTTTTACATTTAATTTGACGTGTAAAAGTGCCATTTTAAGGACTTTTTGCAAAAAAATTCATTGTTTCATTATTTTATTTAAAAAAATATAAAAAAGTTTTTATTGTCGCCAGGTCTTTTCAAAAAGGAGAAGATACTTGTGTCAGGATATACCTCGCTCTTCCTCGTAGATTAAAGAATTAAGATAAAGATATCGATATAGAGAAATAGATTAAAGGAAGAAAATAAATATAACTTACGTATTTGCTCATACATGTACTCTGCAGTGACCGCGAGCACGGTGTTGCTGACAATGTCACCGATAGATGCCGCTAGTGGTGTCGCCACGTTGTCCGGATTCACCTTGAATTTGTGCGAACCGTAGATCACCATCACCATCACGAAATCTGAAGAGATGAGGTAAAGGATGATGTATTTATATATGCAAATTATTTTGCAGTACAAAATGTATAAATTATGAGTATAATTTATAGTACATAGATAGGTCTATTGTCAGAAGGCATAAATATAAAGTTAGGCAAAAAATCTGGATCTCTACAAAGATACATATACTATGCCTAGTGTGCCCAAATCAAGCTTGATTTTTTTATGGAATTGGGGGCAAACGACAACCGCAACGTCAAAACAGTCTATTGAATAGAAATAATTTAAGCCGAAAATTAGCCGCGTTTTGTTTCATGGTGGAAAATTGTCTAATGTTTTCTTCAGCCCTGGATGGGGTGAGAGGGAGTCAGACCATTGTTCCTTTCCTGCTTCCTGATGCTGACTACGTATGAGGCTCACTAGAACAGACGTCCAATCGGGGTTGTGGGTGAAAGCGCAATAATGTACCACGCCCCCCTACTGGAGAAGGGGATTCCTTCTCCTGCTCCAGGGGTGGTTGTTGGACAGTAAGAGTATGACACTTTCTCTCGCCCCACCCTGGACAGGAAAAGTCGTTAAATAAATATCCTCTCACAAAAGAATCCCCGTTTCGGAGAAGAATAAGGAACGGTGTTTTTAGTCAGTAAGAGTCACTCCCTCTTGCACCACGTAGAGCGGGAAAAGTTAGGAAAGGATGATGCACCATATCACCATAAAACTAAGGTACAATGAATAAGATTTCTCGCACTAATGTTTAGTTAATTTATTTACGTGCTCACAAATCGTTATACGCTATTAACATTTGACCGCCGCCGGGCGCTTAGGTGCGGTCACGTAGATTTTATTGCATTTTCTTAGAAACAATAACAGTTAAACGGTATGCTAATTTTTCCGGGTTTTAAGATTTGATAGTCTTTTTTTTAGAACGTGCTGTAGATCGTATCTTTGATGTGGTTACAGCATATTTATAAATATTCTATTCTAGCTTCACCCATATCATCATCATCAACCACTGCCAGCCACCCTGCGGATGTCGTCAGTCCACCTAGCTGGACACCTAGTCCACCTAGACCACCTAGTCCCTACACTACGTTTGCCTAGACGTGGTCTCCATTCGAGAACAAGTTTACTCCAACGGTTATCGGTTCTCCGACAGATGTGACCTGCCCACTGCCACTTCAGTTTGCTAATCCTTTTGGCTATGTCGATAACTTTAGTTCTCTGTCGGATTACCCGTATGGTATTTTGATAAAAAGCAGCCTGTAATCAAGACCTATCTATATACCAAATTTCAATCAAATTGGTCCAACCGTTTTTGAGTAAAAGAATAAAAAACATACATCTACACATTCCCATATTTATAATACTAATACGATTAGTAATATTGTAATATAGTGCTGGTCTGCGTCATAGGTATGTAGATCGCTGGGAACATGTTAGGAAGACATTTGAGTTGACGGTTCTCTTCATAGGGCATCAAACTATTATCGGATTTCTTTCAATTTTTTCAAAATCATCTTAGTAAATAACATGCAGTCTGAAAACAACTATTGTTTTTGAACTACCAGTCATCTTTAAATAATGCTATCCAACTGCGGCTTCAGTCGCTTGTTCAAAACAATAAAATATCACCTAAACCTTCCTTAGGAATCACACTATCAATTGGTGAGAGCCGTACCTACAAGAATTTACCCTAATAATTTTCGAGTGTTTCATGTTCATTTAAGTAGATAAGACAAGACAGTCTGCTTGTGATCATGGCATGTGTAATTTTGCCGAAACGTCAAGCAAAAAACAAGTAAAAAAGGTACATGCTCGTTAAATCCCTTAAAACAGTAAGGCATACGTGAACAGAGAGAATGTTTTTATAAGTGATAAGTGACTTACCCAAGACGAAGCAGGTGGTGGTAGCTGTGAAGACTGCGGAAGCAATCAGCAGGAGTACGAAGGAACCGTTGATGGCTCGGTCGGTGATTATGTTGACGATGATCGCGAATATCGACACCACCGTCGCTGCTACTATCGCTTGCACCTGTTAAGTAAAGATAATTTGTTTTATTAAATACCTAATTAATATGACGATAAGTCTTTAAGCTGAAGAGATACGGGGAGAATCAGTCTTTAGTTCCAAGTATATCTTTATAATGTTAAAAGGACGGTGCGAGAGAATCCTTAATTACTAGAGGAAGACTTCGAAAGGTTACTGTTGTTTTGACGAAATAATATCATCAAATGACCTCTCTTTCAACTTGGGTAGAATGAAAAGGTATGTCAGACTCTTACTGACTAAAAACCACCCCGTTCTTTCTCTTGCTATAAGTACGTTCATTCAGACTCACTCTGTTTCACTCCATTTAGTGTAATAACCAAAAGGTCGGCAACGCACTCGTAACTCCTTCGTTGTTGCGAGTGTGAATGGGCGGCGCTGAATGCTTACCATCAGGTATTGAGTCTGTTCGATTGCCGTCTTATCACATAAAAAAAGATAGTAGATATGTTAATAATATACTCCATATTTTAATTTGACACGCTAGAGTTACTACAGAAATCCCTTTTTGGGCTATTCTGTACTAAATATTTACATTTCTGCATACGATTGACATCGATCATGATAAGTAAGTAAGTAATATAATGGAATGCAATGAAATGTTTTGAGGCAAAAGGAACTTAACGTTTAAGAATTTAAGGTTTCTTTTTTTTCATTAATCATCACTAAAATATCGACTCATCTAAATACATATGTAGAGTCGTATACCGCATCGTAAATAAATGTAGTATTACCGCAGAAACTCCGCCATTTTCCAATGAACGAACAATATTTATTTTACTCCAATTTAACAAGTAATTTAACTCAACATTGTTTGTATATAAGTGGTCGCTAAAATTGACGTAGTGACTTATGTAAATAAGTACAAAGAAATTGAGCCATTTAAAGACTATACCATTGTTCAAATGATTATTTTACTCGTATATGCATACGATGTTTATTTACTCCATAGTTTTTCTAACAAGGAAGTGTGCAGAATAAATTTAAGTGCGAATGTACTTATTTTTACGTCACAAATGCGAATGTTTTGGTAATTTAAATCTGTCGTATTTGTTTTTTTCTTCAAATATACCAATTTTTTTAGCCGGTGTCGCGAATCAAGCGGTATAAGATACGGCCTCGGCCTGGAGCAGGAGAAAAAATGGGAGGGGGAGGGGGATTTAGTCATTAAGGCGAAGAGTTTAACACCCCCTGGGCAAGTGAAGTCATTTGATGATTTTCCGTTCACAAAAAAGGGTTGGTAATTTTGTCGATCAGTTCAGAAGTGACCACTTCGTCTTTGACTATTAATGTTTGGATTTTACACGTAACATTATTAATCTTGATCTTAACAGGTTACTTATTCACAATGTGTGTTTTTTTTAGACTAGTTCTAGTCTTTTACGTGTTAAGAAAAGCTAACTCTGTGACAAGGTCTTATTAAAATATGGGTTCCATTTCATTTGAAGTAAAGTTTTTTAGTGGCGCATTGTTAAGTTTGGTACCGTCTTCTTAAAAGACCAGGGCCATATAGTGATATGGATGAAAAAGACCTTTATTTACCTGAACTAGTGATATGTTTCCGACAACCATGGATATGACTTCTCGTGTTGACGACATGTTGCCAAGGTTCGCCTGAGTGGACAGTCTGGATGCTAGACACATGTCTAGATTACCTGGAGACAAAAAAACATAATACGTTAATCAAATATTTTCAAATTACAATGGACTTGAAAGCTGCTTCGAAAATCCTCAATTCTCTTTTTTCCTTTATGGTTTTAAAGAAAAAACATTGATACAGGATGACTTTGTTTAATAAATTTTGAACTCAGATTTTTGGATTATACTAATACACTTGACAATAAAATAATTAGGTCCTAAGGACTAATAAGGACCTAAAAATGTTGATTGCTGTTAGCAGCATAATTTATTCAGTTTCATCAAAAGTATATCCGTTTTGTGGATCTGTCGTGATGTCGAGGTTAAGGAGCCCGCTTCTCATGCATGAGAGTGTGGGTTTGCGCAAGCGTGGTGATTAATGCTCTAACTTATAGGCTGATGATGATGTCTGTGTCTGTATCGTTAGATGATCTAAATTAGAGGTATCTAGAGGGGCAAAGTAATATTGAGAGGTTTTTAATATTAATTGAATGATACATATAAGTCTGCTTAAATAAAAGGTACGGATGCACTTCATCAAAAATATTAATACTACTTATCTTTGGTTGAATACTTAATTTAGCATTTTTATCAATAAATACTTGGGTCATTATCAAGCATTTTGGAATAGGTATAGACTTAATCTTTTTTAATTTTTGATTACAAGGGTAAGTACTGATTAAAATGCATTATTTTTGTAACTAAGTAATTTCATTGATAAAGTGTAGTCAGGTCAGTTTTGGCTGGGTGCAAGCGCTATGCGCAGGCTCGAAGCAAGAGACGGAACGGGGTGGTTCTAGTCAGTAGGAGTCCAACACTCTTTCTTGTCTCACCCAGAGCTGGAGAAGTTAATTGATAGTCAAAGTCAAAGACAAAATAATTTATTCCAAATAAACCATAAATAGGTACTTTTGAAACGTTAAAATAGAAGTCTGTCAGTCTGTTCGTCAGTGAAGCTAGGTGCATATATAATTTACCAACACCCCTCTTCCAAAGGGGATTTTGTTGATTCTTCTGCGGACGACAAGTAAGGAGAGCTAACCGCGCGACCCGAAACAGACCCGAGCGCACGGCGCGTTGCGTTCCACACGCGCCTCAAAGAGCCAAAAGACCTTCATAGACAGGGCCCTATAGAGCTGATGTTTTGCCAGGGTTGTAGGGTAAGTGCAACGAGACACCACAGCCTCGGCCCAGACCAGAAGAAGCAACAGGGGTGTTTTAGCCAGTAAGCTTCAGACACTTTCTCTCGCTTCACTCTGGGCGGGAGAAGTCATATGATCATTTTCCCCTAACAAAAAAGGGACAATGCTATCAGTATTATTGTAACAATGCTTATCGTAAAGGCGGACTACAAACCCACGTATCAAGGGTCACCACAAGAGTCAGACACATTAAATAATATAGATTTATAATAGCTGACTGGCAAACGAAGCTTATCAATTATTTACAATAAGAGTCATATTTAAACGAGCCGTTTTGTTCACTCAAAGTGGTAACAAAACCTGCGTTACTGATATATTTATTTAACCGTTTTAGCGCTTTGAAGGTGCGGCGTCTCAACGCAAGCTCAATAATTATAAACAGTGCTTAGACGAGTACCTAATAAAATGGGTAATGTTTCAAAACATTGGGGAACTGACCTCGTCTATAGTAGCCATGTTGAGTTTGTAATTGAGATATTTTTTCAATACTCAACCTTTCGTTCTTTGACAGGATATATGTATGTAACTAAAGGTGAAATATTGGGTGGGCAAGTACAATTTATAAGCTTATTTTTTTCAAGTTTTTGGGACTTTCTTGTTCATTTGCTTCTGCACGGTTGACGCGGTGGCTGGGCAACTGGCTGGCGCGCAACGTGTGGCGGATTCGATGCCCGCACGGAGCAACTGTTTGTGTAATCCACAGGTAGTTGTTCCGGGTCGGTTTGTATACGCACTCACGACACAAGAGAAAATCCAAGAATGGGGCAAAGTTTTTTTTAAAAAAATAAAATTAAACCAAGTGTGTCTTGATTTTGGAACGACTATCTTATTTACCTATTTATGTTTTCATATACGATTATATTTTAAGTGTATTTTATATATTGGATTCTAATTCAAGTCAGTGAATCTGAACAGAATACAAATAGGTATAAAGCTGTTTCTTCTTTCGCATACATCTTAACAAAGTTACCTATTCATGTAAAAATACAATATTGCACATCTGAAATAATTTTCTTATGACTAAACACTTATTTTCAATGGAAACTTGTTTGGACTTCCCCTAAACAAGAGCCACTTATAAGTAAACGTAACAAAAGAATTTGCTTATGTTTATACACGAAATGCTGTTGACTGCAAATAAGTAAGTATTGACTGTCATTTGGCAATTTGGTAGGTACCTACATTTTTCGTTATTTTTGTTGAGGGGAAAAGCCACTAATTTATCTTGCCCTGGATAGAAGGATTTGGATTAGAAAGAGAAGGAGCATCAGTGTCTCTGACTGACTTAAAACCACCCCGTTCTACCTCCTACTTCTGGCCGTGGGCACAATAAATAAATATGCTTGATAACTTTGACCAGCCACCCGTTTCAAATTTCGTACTCGTTGGGTACTTAATTCTTTAAACCCCAAGCGAACGCCGGCGCTCGAGCACCTATTTGTTATTCTATTAAGTCTTGAATTACCAAGGTTGAAAGGTTAACCAGTTAAACTTTCAACATCGACAATTTACTATGAATGTTGTTGGATAATGTGTTGTGTGTGACGTCGTTTATATTTTTCATCAAACAACTTTGGTAAATACTTATTAATTGAAAAAAGGAGTATTTAAATTAAAATTTAAATATTTATTTGTAATATTTTATTTCATTGTAAACTCGAAATAATTATATGTTTACTAAAAAAAAATAACTCACTTTTCTAATAAATATAGGCACACAATTGAAACAAAAAACACCTGTCTATATTAGGTATAAAAATAAGTTATTTGCATATACTTTTACTAATTAATAAAATACTTGGAAACGGATAAATGTATTATCGAGTCTATACGCAAGAAAACACCTGTGTACCTACAATATAGAATCTAGGAACACGTACATAAAGTCTATAATACATGTTCGCAAGAATTTTTCTTTGTACCCGCCATTACTGAGGTAGGTATCAAAGTGTTGTCATTATTTGCACGCAAAGGTTTTTTTGTTTAGAATTCATTGATCTTCTTTCCTTTAGTATTTATGCATAGGTACTTATATAGAAATGAAAAAAGAAATGTTTTTATTTAACTAAACCACATATCCTTATCAATTTTTAGTATTACCGGTATAGGAGGTTTAGAAAGGAGTCCTAGAAAGAGGGGATGGTGCATGGCAGTAGGTATGAATCCTATGCCGGAATCTGATTTCACCAAAGGGCTTATAGCCTAGGTTGCTTATGGAATGTTCCATCGTAGGTCGCATCATTGCTTATCAACAAGAGAGACAGTGGTCAATGGCCGATCACGTTTAAAAAGTATATTAGGTACATATTGAACGAAATAATATTATGTAAAACACTGGTTCATAAATCCCCAACCCCTATAAGGCCAGTAACGCACTCGTAACTCCTCTGGTGTTTTGAGTGTCAGCCATCTTCATCTAACTATCACGTAACCAATTTACTTGATGGCCAATATAACCCATAAAACTGTAACTACTAATAAAATCTCTTAACATCATCTTCATCATCAGCCTATAAGTGCCCACTACTGAGCAAAGGCCTCTTCACAGAAATAGAAGGTTTGAGCATTAATCACCACGCTTGCTGAAGGCGGATTAGCAATTTCAAACTTATATTTAGGAATTATAAGTCTAGGTTTCCTCACGATGTTTTCGTTCTCCGGACCACCACGTCAACATTCTAACTCCAAATTTCTTATATGTATATCTTAATAATAACCAGAAGTCTAAAGACATAACGTGTCTACAAAATTCCTTCAACAATTCACATTAAATTGTAGGACAAAAATACTACGTTCGCATCAATTTTCTTTTGTCCAAGACAACGGAGCAATTACTTGGGTAATTACACTACAATCTGCCTCGCATTCAAGTAAATGACATATTTTTATCTCTAAACTATGTTATTCTGAATCACGGAAACTTCTGTAGAAATAGAATTAGGTACCAGCCAACCATGAATGTTACATTATTTTTTTGAATCAACACAAACATTCTTAAGTTTATTTGCAAATATTTTAATTTTATAATATGAGATTAAATGTAAACCTATTACGTTTACAAACGCTACAAATATTTGGATTTAGAATTATGAATAACTTTTAAAGTTTTATTTTAAATGAAATTGAAGATTAAATTTTATTCAAATAATTCAATTCAAACATGAATTATAAAAATGACAGAAAACAGCCCTATTATTTTGATTTAAAGTTTTATTTTAAATGAAATTTAAGCTTATTCATTCAAATAATGTGAATGAAAGGTGACTTATAAAATTGTCAGGAAACATAATCTATCGTTTCGTAACATTGACGTAAGAGTTTATATAAAAATGCGTCATTATTAAGATAAGGGTGCAAATGTATATTTTGATTGATACAATCTGTATTGGCACAAGGCCGTTAAGGAAGTAAGATCTTAAAGTATAACAAGATTAGATCGAATAAGTATGATAAGTACTAAAATTTCACTATTTTCCTACAAATAAATGTATTGATAACATCTGAAATGTTGTAATCTAATCAGGTGATACCATCATAGGTAGGTATAAAAAACCAATCTGATCAAGATAAGTCGCCATTCAGCTCGATGATGAATTAGTTTTGTTATTTAATCTCAAAAGTCTTATGTAGGTATAACATTTGCGTAAAATTCATGACTAATACAAATGTCAACTAAAAATATAGATTTTTGAGGATAAACTCAAGAAAAAAGCAAGTCAGGAAAGTTTTGAATAATCAAATAGTTTTTGCATTACTTTAGCTGTAGGTAATGACTGACTGACGAATGACACGAGCGATAAATTGACTCATTTGGTTGGCAATTTGATCGATACTGATCTTTTTATTTGAATTTTGTACACTTCACCCTTCAGCCGGGGTTGCGGGGTAAGCACAATGAGGCACCGCGACCTCGGCCCAGAGCAGGAGAAGGAAAGGGGGGTTTTTAGTCAGTAAGAGTCTGACACTCCCTCCCTCCCTACCTCGGGTCGGAGAAGTCTCACAAAAAAAAGGTTTGATATGACTCGATTGCAGGAAAATAAAATAACCACTGGCTTTAAAATATTTGATAAAGAACGTTTAGTTCCAACTTATCATGCTATAATCCAGACATCATTCCAGTTTCCTTGCTATTAACGAAACAATTCAGACAAAAATTATTCAACATTTACTACACTATAAAACTCACCTTTAAGACCAGAGAGAGACGGCACCAAAACAAATATGGCTGACACGTTGACGAACACATCCCATTCCTGGAACAAACAATAATTATTCATTAAATATAATTAATTTGATGTGGATGAAATTTAAATAACTATATCTAAACTTGACAAAAAATATTTACAGATAAAAGTTTGAAAATAACGAAATAATTGAACAATTCTAATCACTTGTTCCGATAGCAAAATCGTTATGAAAATTAATAAAACAACTAGTGGCCCAGCAATGCTTCGCACGGATCTCTAATTACCTCGCTTACGACGAAAGGGTACGCATTTCCCAGCTATCTCCTCAACTTTTCGAAAATTTACTTTCAGAAGAACATTTCTCTGACAATAACAGATATAACAAAACAGAATTGTTAACATTGGTCCAGGCGTTGCTGAGTTTATGCTCTTACCAACACATTTTGCGAATCACTTTTACATAAAATTCAATCACTCTTACGACAAATCACTTTTACGTAAATTATCAAAATTTCAAAGGACAATCTGTTAGTGTTATAACCTTCCTTTTATCGTACAATGATACTTCAATATAAGTATGCAAAGTAAAAGGCAAATTCACACCGAAACAATGTCTTCTTACCATTGAAAACATTAAAACAATTTGACCTCAACATCTTACAAAACAACGACCGTGGAATCGACCACCAGAAACGGAAAAGTAATTTGTTAAAAAAAAGAACTAGGTACTTATGCATAAAATCTGCGCAATACACTGAAATGGGTGTTTAGCTTTTTTGTGGCTTAGCAGGCTTGGCCAGAAGATGCTATTTAAGCTTAATTTACGGTGACAACGTTTTGGACTAAATGACAAATAATGAAACAAAATGAGATAATGGTAATGGGTTAAACATCATGTGTAATAAGTACACGCAACGTTGGTTGGTAATGGCTTCCTGATCAACATATCATGAAGAACACAATCGAACGCCTTAGATAAATCACAAAATACTCCAAAATCATCGCTAAGTCCTCTCACGCGTCGTAAATCTTATGAAGCAGTTCAACACCGATATCAGTTGTTGTACCTTTGTAAAACCAAACTGACTACTGAACGAGACTCCACGGATGGTGTGGTGCAGCAAAACGTGTCGCAGATACGATTCCTGCAAGGATCTTTGTGTGATGCACAAATTGTTGTTTGGAGTCTGGATACTATGTGTAGCTGAAATTGTATGTTTGTAAACGCATCCACGACACAGGGGAAAATTCTAGAGTGGGACAAAGTATTAAAAAAAAAATACTTTGTATTGCTCTCCCTACTCTTTATATAGGCAACTTCAACTACAATCTAATCTGATCAAGAACCTGTGCAGCGACGGTATCTGACAAACTGGAAATGCTGCTATCAAAACTTGCATATGAAATGTTGCCAAGTGAACGCATGTAATAAATGGACACAATTTTACGAATCAGACTTTAAACTGATAAAATTTTCGTAGAGAAACACGTGCAAAAACAAAAATAAAATATATAAAAGATAATTTAAATAAGGACGTATATAGTGTACTTACACGTGAGTCAAAAACGTGTACCTATCTACATAAGTATAAAAAATGTACCTAACTGATAGATACAGATAGCTATTTATTATTTTCATTCGCCTAAACTATTTAGGTAGACACTTCAAAGATAGCTGCTGTGATTTATCGATAAATTATATTACTGATTTGATCTTGTCATTTGACATCAATATCAGGCCACCGCGCGGTATCTATGTATTTGACGCTTGTTGCTCACGTAATGTTATACATTTTTGTAACCCTACAAAAATATTGCTTTACTGTCATCGTTTTCTTTTCCTTTTTTATCATCTTCATTTATCTTAAAACCAAAAATCTTTAGTTCTGTCAGTCCCATTAGCTATCACAACACATATTTAGTTTTAAACATATCACCATAAGTTCAGTTATAAAATGACCTATATCTATCAATAGGCATTAAAGGATGGATAACTAAAACTTCATATTTTATAGAATTGTCAAGCTTTAATGTTACAAAATAAAGTCCAACTCACCTTGACATGACCCAAAACTAATCCAGCTCCGATCGTACCACATCCAGCTATGAAGAATGGCACAGCCACTTGCATCAACGTTGTCCACCATCGTTCCTCTTTCTTCTGAAACCAAGGTACTCTAGTTAGGCTTGGGTAAGGAATTTTCCAATTTGGGCTGGCTGTTTTATGTAGAAAATATTACAATAATAGGTAATCAAGTTATTTTGGAGAACGTATTGTCATTTCTAAGGCCTTATCAAGCGCAAAGACTAAAGCGTACAATTTACAGACAGCTTTATTGATAATGCCACTTAACCGTTATTCTACTAATTAATTTTTATACAACTAGGTGTAGAAACTTAAGTATACCAGTGAAATCTTCTAGGTGATATACAAAACAAATGTGATAAGCATGATTGTAGAAAATCATTGTGCAAATATATCATAGAAGCTTAAAGCAGCAGCGGATTGCAAGTAGAAATAACGATTGATATATGTATTCCAAGCAGCCGATTTACATATTGTTAAATAATCGATAAATCATTCAGTCGAACTAGTTTAGTCATTAAAGGTTCTTTAGCTACTAAACTCCGAACGGACGCTCATGACTCTCGAAATTAAGTCACAGGCCCTTTAAAACTGTATGATTAACTTATTCTAAAAGGGCAATAAGTCAATGATCTATGTAGCTATAAAGATATTAAATAATATAGCACATTTTAGCACAGTAAACATACTTTTTGACCTTGGTCTAATTTGGTCAGTTTTGTTCAGGACATCATGGCTTAAACAGCTTTAGATACTCACGATAATGATGAACAGGTGATAGTAGATATGAAAATGGCTTCGACAAGAATAACATAATACGAAATAGCAGAGAAAACAAACAATTTACCTCAAAATATTACTACAGATGCAATGTGATTAGTAAAGGAAGGTTTTAGTAATCTCATATAAAACTTAAAGTTTAATAATTCGGCTTTTCTAACCGGTTTATGTACGAAATACACTGCAATAGTTGATTATTGAAATGTTATTATTACCCAAAAAGTGTTTGATGTTTCTAGCCTCTCATGAGGTACAACACGCCTCCTACGAGAGGCCCAGGCGGGCCTGAGGTAACGGTGTACTAGTAAAATTGCTAAAAATAAATACAACTACATTTTCCAAAAAATAAAAAATTTTGGTCATCAAAATAATAAAAATGTATACAAAAATGACAAGACTTTGACAAATGGACAGATTTCAAGTTGGATTAAAAATCGCTATGGTTACCTAAAAGTATCAACCGAAGAAGTTTAAAATGGAATCCAAAAAATATTATCTCTTTGTCATTATTAGCTTGACTCGCATAAAGATTTCAAAAAAACCTTCTTAGAGAGAAGTGGACTAATGGATATTTGTGGATTTGCTGGTTCACAAAACTGTGAACCAGCTAGATTTTAAGAATTATAGACAACTAGGACAGAGATTTTACATTCATCATTTTGAAAAATATTCAATCAAGTAGTACTTATACAAATAACAATAATATCTTTCACGATATGGAGACTATTATCTCGAGTATAGTGTAGTCGATTGTAATGTCAATTGTGTTATTAATTTTTTTAGCACAGGGTCGTCGTAATTATTAATTTATGTTGATATTGGACAAAGGCCTGTGTGATGATATTATTATGTGAAAGTCGGGATTTTTTATGTAGGTCAGTTACTCGTGTTGCTTTGATTGAGGTGTGTACAGTACGGCTGACGTATCTTGGCGAGTCTGAAGTTAGCCGTTTGTCTGCGCAATGGATCTTTTAGGAACAAAATTGTGTACTGCGTAGCTAATCGCCAAGATACGTTGGCGGTATTTTAGATATATGTTGTTATTTTATTAAATAAGAGGGTTGCCAGCCTTTTCAGAATAATTTACTGCACGGTTAACGCGCTGAGTGCTGAGTGCAACTCTTTGAGTTATCTACAAATTGGTGTTCCAGGTCTGGAAGTGATGAGTAGGTGAAATTGTATGTTTGTAAAACGCAGCCACGACACAGGAGAAAATCTTTGTGTGTAAATTACTTTCGCTTTCATAATATTAGTTGGGACTATCCTTAAGAATCATTATTAAAGGAAGATCCTCAAACAAAAATATTTATCAATAAATTGCAACCGTGCTAAGCCGGAACGATTTGCTAATACCTAAATTCAATATGCGTAATACATAAGATATAAATGTACGTAAATTCATATCAATAGAGATAGCAGAGGGATTAGCGTGAGCCTATTTATTGCAATCGACGTTCTTATTGTTTAGGGATTATTACCAGAGATTTGCTTTCTAAATTACATAAATTATCTTCTAATAAGTTTTATATAATTGCTTATTAATGGGTTATAGGGATTCTTCGATTTTTCTCCGTATAATTCGAAGGCTGAACATAAAACTGGATTATGCTATTATTACGAATGTACAACTTTTTTCTTCATTTACTACTTTTTTTCCCTTTACAGCTTGCTCATCATTAGAAGATAAATCAGCTTGTAGGTACCTACAGTGTTTGAGTACGTGATCGAGATAATCTATTGTCCGCTATGCAGTATTTGGGATTAGACCGGTATAAATTGTGTCACATAACATTTCTACCTGCTCAATAAGTAATAACGAGGACGAGTTCAAAAAGTTGACGGTCAACTTTTTGGAATGAAATGGCAAAGCCAATACATCTAAGCCAATAAGCTCAACTCCTAACAAATGGGATGCCGGGATTCTACACCTGCCTGTTTGGGGATCAAACGCAGTTTCATTATTTATAGTTTAATAATATACACAAGGTCTAGGCTAAGAAAATGTAAACAATAATCCTTTTCTCATCACATATCTCATATGTGGTTTTATAATCATCAGATTCTCAAGTGTTGATAACGCATCTTAATGACGCATTAATTAATAAGTTGTAATCATTGCCAGCCACTCGATAATTAGGTAAATAAGCGGCAATGCTAATTTAATTAGTAACTGCTATTACATGCTTTTTATGGACTTGCACAAGGTGAAAATTAATCAGATAGTAGGAAAAACGAAGATAGTAATGTTATTTTATTTACTCGCGCAGTGTACAACTGTTGGAAGGCTGTTTTTATATAACAAAGAGATGAAAAAGAAATGTTGATAAATAAATATGACGAATTTGACCGGTTAACATTTCTTGAAAACTATCTTATCAATGATATTTAAGAATACAGCTACGGCTTCTGATCCAAAGCTTAGTAGGCATACGATACAATTATTTACAAGACACATCACAAATAAATATTTGGTAGAACTCCTCGAATATGATTAAACTATATATATATTATAATTAAACTAATAATGACAAATTTTAAGTATGAAGGAGAAAACGTCGCGGGGAAGACAATTAACCTAAAAAATATACACAAAAATGAACCTAATGACGTAGTAATTAACCTAAAACTTGATATTGAAATATAAAACATGTGGTAGATATCGTGCGTGGCCAAACGATTAATGAACTTATCGTAAGTATAATATTTGTCACAGATTACATTGCCATTAACAATCGCTCTGTGATTGATCGACTTAAACTCCGATTTACTTATTTTTGATACCTAATATATGTATGTAGTTTATATTTATTTGACACTGGCTTTTCGATTGCGGTTTCACCTTTGTGGAATTTATGTTGATTTTTCTTGATCTTGTAGGAGGATTTGCATCATTTTTATCATAAGAAAATATATTTTAATGGCTATCATTTATATTAGCATTTCTACAGAATTACTTATTATGTTCAACGGGTTACTCACGCAACTAATCAAGCAACACATGGTACACAACACACAAAAAATTAAGAATACAACTTATAATTTCTAATTAGAAGTTTTAAATCACAAGCGTGTTGATTAATGCTCAAACCTCCTCCATGTGAGAAGAGGCCTTTGCTTAGCAGTGCGCACTTATAGGCTGATTTTGTGTTTTAAGGCCCATTGAATGCAACTCAACAATAAAATCTTTTTAAAGTTAGAGGCTGCTTTGTTTTGCTAAAACATGCTCCAATTACTTATCCTTTCGAATAAATTATTTTACAGCAGTTTCTCAGCAAGTAAAAAAGTTACTAGGCGGTTTATTTACAAACCAACGGATAAAACAGTGCATTTACTTAAAATCACTCTTACTTTTTCCTGATTTGGCAAAAGGAACATTTGTAGACACTCTGACAATAAAGTGATTATAAACTTAAGCAACAACGCCACTAATAAATTAGCCGAATCTCATTATAATTACAAGCAAGCAAAGCTCATACATTTAAAAGATACTATAAAACATGCAATAGATACTGATTCGAGAGATGATCAAGCTGTTTAAGTTAATGTGACTAATACAAATTATAATGATTGCAATTATAGTGATGATCATGAAAAGGTACACAACAAAGAGTAATACCTACAATCACAGGATTCTTCCGATAGGGCAAGCAGAGGAGTAAACGAGAAAAAAATACAATTAGATGAAATTGATGGGATAGTAAAACTATTTTCGAAAGATAACTAATTTGCATTTGTTATCACGGTTTTTCCCCTTGGTAATTATATTAATTACATCAATTAAAATGTATTAGGCTTATCATCGCATAATTCTGGGTTTTAACTTATCATGATTTCGATCTGATTGGCGGTTATAGATTTGAACCTTATTCCTTTTAATCTATTTATATTTATGAATGAATTATATACCTGCTGGTGGGTTTTTAGAATGTGAGTCAACTTTAAAAGTATATCAGTACCTACTAAAAGTACGTGTCTGGCCCTTTGGAAGAGAGGGTTAGGCCCTTGGCATAAATGTAATAACATATATGCCAATGTTTTGCAGTAACAATGATATAGTTTGGAAGGTGCGTTAAATTGTCTTAGCTTCATTATATTACATTTTATTTTAAATCCATTTCAGTAAAAATTTCAAATTAAAATACCCAGTCTCATCTGATTACGTTGGATCTATTATTTTATTAGTAGTTTTATATTGATTATTGATACTTACTCCTGATAGTGGTTGTTTTTCTGCATCTGCTTCGGCTAATTTTTTATCCGGTGGATCTCCCGGACTTTTTTCATTTGAATTTATCGACGCCATAGTGTAGTTGTCTTGTCCACCAATTTCATCTGCAACAAATTGAGACTTATGAGAGATTTTGCATTAACACTATTTTTTTGCTGTGGTTTATTTAAATTTGTATTCTTATATCTGTCTGTTGATTTATTATGTCTATAAGGCATATCAATTATTAATATTTATATGCCTTATAGACATAATAAATAAATTACACGTAAAAAATTTTTTGTTATAAATTCTTCATTCATATTAAATATTATTTTAAAATGTTTATTAAATCTAAAATAAGAACCAGCACCACTTCACTTTTAAGCAGTTTAAAAAAATCACTTCTAATAATATTATTCACTAAAAACCACAATTAAATAAAAAAAAACATTTAAGTACCTATATTTGATTTCATGGTAAAAAAAATCTAAACTGATCCAAATCCTAAACGTCTTACCTACAGTAAGACTTAAATCTGAATACCTCAGTAGCGAATTTGAACACGGTAATCTATACTTATCACTATATTGATCACAAGCAATGTCATAAAATATTAAATGACCGATTTGCTTTATCGAATGATTCGAAATCTTTCAAAGATACGTTATCAAATAAATTTAAACTACGCAATTATTAATTATGTATTTTTAGATAACAAAACCTTTTAGATGTTTGTGGAATAATAGGGATGGATATCACAGTAACAGGAAAACAAAGCGTTATCATTAATAACAAAATTCAGCTGGAAAAGGTAAAGGAGATTACATGCATAATTGAAGTTTTCGAATAAAAATACTTGATCAGGTTTACACGATAATGTATTTTATAGTGATATCACAAAAGACGATTGTGGCCTGATTGATAAATTGCAAGCTTTTGTTAGTCATTAATGACGTTAAAGATTTAGCAATGTTAATACTGGTTACAGATGGCGATAAGGGCGGAAATGATACATTGAAATTGCTTTAGCATCACCCGTCATACCTTTATGTAAATTGGTATCATAAATTTACTAACACAGCAAGATATCTAGACCTAAGAACATTTTCAAATTTACTGCACCTATTCCAATAAATTTTCACGTTATCTATAGAATGGTTTACAAAGGTTTTCCAATTATATTTCTCTAAGAATTTACTAAATAACTACCTAACTTTGATACACGACATCGCTTGTGAGATAATTAGTAAACAGAAGTCAAGTTATCAGAACAATTTATCTCGATGAAAAATTTATGCTATTTTGGACACTAAAGTTAACGAACTATGCACCAAATTTGATCCAAACTCATCTAAGCTAATATCTAGCTTAATGGCATAGTTGAATCTAGATATTTCCAGATAATTTTATTACCATAGAATATGGAAACACAAACAAAAACATTTAAATACAGCTGCTTTCGCATTAATAAAGAGACCTATTATTAATATACACAGCTTAATGTACAAAGGTAAACTGTCTACCTGAGAAGTTAAACAATGGTTTTAATTGCAAAATCTAAATAATATTACAATAGTCTAAGTCACGTTTATAAAACAATAGTAAAAGACAATAATAAATGGACCGTGTGTATGAGTTCATTGTTTATAAGATTAGAAAAGATTGGTGTTTCATTTCAGAAATAATAAGCTTTGTCCCTTGGGGAACTCCCTCGGGATTCGGGCAAGGCTTTTGACAAGGTGAACCAACTTTGTTTAGAATCGATATTTACGTAGTTTAAGTATATTAATAGTATTCTCAATATGTACATTAACACAGGTCGTGGTGGCTCGGAGGTTAAGGAGCCCGCTTCTCATGCATGAGGGTGTGGGTTCGGAACCTGGCAAGTACCAATGTGACTTTTTCCGAGTTATATGTACTTTCTATGATTATTTAGACACCACTGACATACGGTGAAGGTAAACATCGTGAGGAAACCTGGACTTATAATTTCTAATTATAAGTTTTAAATCGCCAACCCGCATTGAGCAAGCGTGGTGATTAATGCTCTAACCTTCTCCTTATGAGAGGCCTTTGCTCAGCAGTGGGCACTTATAGGCTGATGATGACATTAACACTGAATCGTGAACGATTTTCCTGGAGGAAAAATAAATAATATTTATCTAGGTGCTAAGATAAAGATAGTTATCATTGTAATTTCAGTAAGTACATGTTTTTATCAGTTGAAGAGGATGAGATTGGGCATGAAATTGAAAAGAGATTTTTATTCTACATTTGTCATTTGTGGTTTTTTATAACCATAAGTAACATTTTTAAGTTCACTATTGTACGATCATATTTCCCTTAATTAGCCTATAAGTCCCCACTGCTGAGTAAAGGCCTCTTCTCACACGGAGAATGTTTAAACATCATCATAATCACCACGCTTGCTAAAGGCGAATTGGCGATTTCAAATATATATATATAACTAGCTACTCTCGCGCGGTTTCACCCGCTGCTCGGCTCCATTTAATCGTAGCGTGATGTTTTATAGCCTATAGCACTCAGGAACATTGTAGCTATCTATCAGTGAAAGAACTTTGGCAATCCGTCCAGCGGATCCAAAGATTACCCCCTATAAACAAACTTACAAATTTTACCTCTTTATAATATTGGTATAAATTAGAAATTATAAGTCCACGTTTCCTCACGATGTTTTCCTTCACTATAATATATGCCAGTGTTGTCTAAATAATCATAGAAAGTACATATAACTCAGAAAAATCACATTGGCACTTATAGGCTGATGATGATGATGATGATGATAGGGTAAAATCTTCTAAAATAAGCATAACCTATACAAATATCAGAATAGTTAAATAAGTTAGTTAATAAATAAAACTTATGTTCAAACCATTCATATAATTGACAATAAAATTAAATAGAAAAACGTTAAAAATGTCACAGTGTATCATTTTTACAACTTTTTATTAGAATCATGTGAAAAACGTTTGAAAACAAATTATAATATTAAATTGTTTATTGAAATTGCGTTAGGTAAGGAATTAACGGAACGAATTACAATTAATATAAATTGTGCATTGTTTGAAAATTAATTACTCTTTTTCCCCACAAGGGTTAAGACGAAATCTTGTATATAAAATTGTCATGTCTTAATCTCCGAAACGGCTTTCCTAATTTTCACAAAATTTTATTTATTTATTTATTCTTTATATAAAATTGCATATCGGAGGACTTAGTGTTAGAAGCATTTTCTGCCAGTCAACCTTTTTTTTGGTAGTGCAGAGATGTGTGGTGGGTGATTTTATATGCAGATTCAGTAGGTCTTTCATACCCCTTTTTTGTGAGGTGAAAATCATACAATATTTTCTCTCGCCCATGGTGAAAGAGGTCAGACTCTTACTGATGATCTCCCCCCTCCTCACCCCCCACTCGTCACCCATACACCCAGTTCCTTCTCCTGCTCTAAGCCGATAACGCGGTACCTTATTGCGCTTTGCCAGCAACACCGGTTGCTTTTCTTAATACCCTTAAGTTACATAAATGTATATAAAAAGAACGTTTGCCGTATCAGCTAATTATACTATTTAAATTTTTATTATTTTTTGTTTTTACTTTCAAAAATGTAATTATATTTATTTTCTGTGCGAGTCTCAAATAAATGTTTTTTCTTTCTTTTCTTTCTTTCTTTCTTTATATATTATAGTAGTGAATACTTAAACTTAAGAACGTCAGTCGGATACATTTTCCCTATTCCCAATTGAGTTCTACATAATCTTTTACCTAATAAAAGATAAGCCTATCCAAATCCATGCTATAAAGCCATGACGTCTTTATAGTATTTTTCTTTTTGAACTATCAAATACGTATAATTGTTGTTGAAACTAAGCATCGATTTCAGTAACTCGTAGATATCAATTACTAGTTAAACAATAACACTAGCCAAACAGTTTTTATCTCACATTTAGTTAAATGTTATGGACAAAGTGCAGTGTTTAGATCACAACTGAACTACTTAAGTAGGTATGTATAATTAAACATTGAACTCGATAAGCATAACAATTTTAATGATCACGCTATTATTATGAAACACTAGAGTTAGTGAGAACTCTAATGGTTTTTTACGGCAGTAAACGAACCTACGGATTACCTGATGGTAAGCAATCAGCGCCGCCCATGGATGGAACACCAGAGAAGTTGCGAATGCGTTAGCGTTTTGGAAATAATGGAGTAATAAATTGGGGAAGGGGGAGAATTTGGCCTTCGGTAACATCATTTAAGGTACCGCGGCCTCAAATGATGTAAGCAGGAGAAGGAACGGAAGGGGGGGGGGGTTTAGTCAGTAAGAGTCTGAAATTCCCTCTCGCATCACCCTGGGCGAGAGAAGGGCTACGCAATTTTCGTGATTTGAGACTGCAGACTGAAAAGTTATTTTATTATGTCTTTACAATGTTTTTGTTAAGATCTTTTCTTATATGCCAAGTACGAACCATTAATTCGTTTCATTATATAAAAAAGGCAAAGAGAGGCGATAAAACCTCCCCCATTGGACTTTTTCTCATAAAATCTTGCTCTTATATTATTTATTATGGCTCCATATGAGTTCCATGAACTGCATAATATTACGGCGTTGTTCTTAATTTAGTTATTATTTCATATCACGATTTAGGTATTGAGTTTGGTTCTTATATTGACCGTTTAAGGTAAAGTGCATAATAAAATTTTGTTCGAAAAATATGTGTGTTTACTTGACTTGGTTATAAATGAAATCTCTATTTAATAAAATATTAAAAATAATTCGTTTCTTTTATTAATTCACTACATATTAAACATTAGTGTTTTCAAGCTCAACTTCAAGATATACCTAACTGTGCTAATGATTTGGTAAAAAGAAACCACAAAAAATATTTTTAAATGTAGGAGAGTCATGCTTCCAAACGAGTGACCGGATTATTACCATGGCCTCACAGAAAACCGGCGTGAAACAATCACAACGTTGTATTTCACCGTGTGAGTCTCCTCATCCGTCCTAATCACCAATAGGCTGGCAACGCACTCGTAATTCATCTGGTGTTTCAGGTGTACATGGGCGGCGACGATTGCTTACCATCAGGTAATCCAT